CTTAAATTCTGTCCTGAGTAATGAATAACCTTTTTCCTGAAATGAGGTACAGGAGCCTAATGGAAAGAGCTCTCAGACAAGGCTCAGTTGATTTGGAGAACTGGACGTTCCCTGAGCAGCAATCGCAACCTTTGAAAGGAATCCAGAAGCATTCTCAGCTGGGGCGTGGGACTGAGGAAAGACCTGAAAAGTGCAAGAAAGCCAAAAAAAAATAGCAGCTGAAGCAGTCTGTGCTTGCAGTGCTCAGCCCTGTGAGCTGTACAAATGGACGGTGTGCTCAAAAACTGCCTCAGGAACTGGGAGACAAATGGCAGCTGCAGAAAGTAATGCTAGCGATAAAGTAAGAAAACAGCAAATTGTGACCGCATCTTAAAGGCAAGACATCCCAGAGAACAAAGCCATAACTTCCCAGAAAAGCTTCAGTTTACCTTTTTTTTTTTTAAAAAAAAAAAAAAAGCAAAAAAACTTCTTTTCTTTCCAGTGCTGCTGTGGTGATCATCTTGTGCTGATGCCTGCAGCCCGGAAGTGCTCCTACTTTATGAAACAGTGTGATACTTCCTGCTGCAGTGCAGCATTTGGTTGGGGGAGAAAGCTGTCCCCTCTTATTTTCTTCTGGCTTCCCTTGGCTTTTTTGATACACAGTCTGTTTTTCAGTGTTCCACCTCCGTTGGTTGCCATCATGCAGTACCTCGTTTTCTGGTCTGTCATTTTTCTGGTGAGAATCCTAGAATGGCCTGGGTTGAAAAGGACCACGATGCTCATCCAGCTCCAACCCCCTGCTGTGTGCTGTGTGCAGGTCGCCAACCAGCAGACCAGGCTGTCCAGAGCCACATCCAGCCTGGCCTTGAGTGCCTCCAGGGATGGGGCATCCACAGCCTCCTTGGACAACAGAAGAAGAGCAGGACCATACCAAGTCTGTGTGTCCAAACTCCCAGAGGCTTCGCAAACAATCCGTAATAGCAGTCTTTATTCTTCTACATCTGTTACTAACTCATTGTCCATTCAACATGGTTGTTTCTGTTCTATGTTATCCTTAGCCAAGTTGGAGAGTAATTCACTGGGCAGAGAGCAGGGGTCGCTTCAGCTAGTTTTACCAAATGTTTATTTCCACCAGTTATTACATTAAAAAACTATGGTGGCTGCAGAATGACAGAAAGGAAATTCTTGCTGGAGTTGATTTCCTAGTGGGCGGTTAGATATTTCGTGTCCACCTCCCATCACTGGACAAAGCTGCCTTTGCTTAACACCTGATTTTTTAACTCTCAGCACTGTTCTTTGTCATCCTGGTGCTGCGTGGAGCACATGGGCAGGCCAGAGCGGGTCGGTAACAGTATGGGAAAAGACAAAAGACCTTTAACACAAATTGAGCCATTTATTTATGAGGCTGCCCAGAGAGGTTGTGGATGCCCCATCCCTAGAGGTGTTCAAAGCCAGGTTGGATGTGTCCCTGGGCAGCCTGGTCTAGTATTAAATGTGGGGGTTGGTGGCCCTGCATGTGGCATAGGGGTTGGAGATTCATGATCCTTGAAGTCCCTTCCAACCATTCTGTGATTCTGTAACACAAATTGAAGGCTTGGTGAGGGTGTTTGTGTGTGTTTGTGCAAAGTGAATTTACATTCTCTCAGCTGCGTGGTTATGTGAAGAGGTGTCTGGGCTGCAGGCGGTTGTGATGCCACGTATTTCTAGGTGAGGATTTGTATAGCACCAGTTTGTCATTGTGCGTGACTCTGGCTGAGGATAAAGGACGCAGCTGAAGAAGATAAAAGGCTGTTCCTTGCTCAGACTGCAATTCCAAACGGACTTTCTCAACTTATCAGCATTACAGCTGTTTGCAGTGGCTGTTTGACTTCTTAATAGCATTAAGCACTGATTCCGAGGGTGACTGTATGTTAAGGGATCCTAGAGGTAATTGCATTTCTAATGACATTCTGTGCCAAGAAACCTCTTTCCTGACCGTGATGAGGAAGTGTCAGTGCTGGGTGGCTTGTGGCTGATCCTTGCAGTAGTGTGAGGTGAATCAGGGCTCAGAGGTGATGGGATGAATGATCCTTAATGACTTACTGCTTGAATTTCCTCCTCTTGGTGACTTGAGCATCAAGTCCCACCCTACTGTGGTATTCCATTAGGTATATGGAGGTGTGACATTTATTGCTGTCTGGACATTTGAGATTAAGAGATTGACATTAAGATTTACATGAGATCTGCATAGCTTTAACTTGGACATATGAAGTCCTGAGTAGAGCTTTGTCTCTCTAGCCTCGCAGATCACTCTGCAAATGGCACACCATCAGGCTCTTTTGGATCAGGCTGTGAAGTGTCATCACTACAAGCCGATCCCTTTCCATTGGTCAGGGTCTAAGGCTACTCGTAACTCTCCTAAAATGCCTTCTTGGCATTTGAACAGGGGCTTGTTGGGTGGTGAAGATACCAGCTGTGTAATGCTGAGGGTATTTTTTCATTAATGCGTCTCTGCGTCATGTAGAAGGATTAGATTTATAGGGAACACTTTTCCTGCCAGCTTTGAAAACGCCTTCAAATGATGCTTCTTGGCATAGTGTGTGTTTTGACACTCGCTGCAGTGAATAGTGTAGGCTTCCTGTTTTTAGATTGTTTCCATTCTGCTTGTATAATCTCGCTTACTGAAAACAAATATAGATATACCTTTTCTCTCATTCTTGCACCATCCACCTTCAGAACTTGTTGATAGGATATCAGGAAAATCAAACATGCTCACACAGAGTATTCCTAAGAGCATTTACATTTCAGCGGGTCACGGCCCTGCATAGGATTTTGTAGCTGTCAACCCTACACAGCTTGTTTTTAGCTTTGCAGATAATACAGGTGGGAAAAAGCCCTGAGAAGCTTGTTTGACAGAGGTGAGGTAAACTGAAAGGATAATGATACAGAGAGAGATTCTATTCTGAATAGAAGAAAGAAAACCAAGTGTGGTGTTGGGTAGGAATATAATTTAGGTTGCCAGTGAGAAATCTTTCAACTTGATAACACGGCTTGAGATTAAGCTGAATATAAAAATGTGATTTTTTGAAGAAAATATTGAATGATGGTGTAAGAATGAGATGAATGAGCAGAATAAACAGTGAAATGTCCTTAAGTGTTGTTCTCCGTGTTTGGAAATTAAGTATGTAAGGGAGGTAAAGTCAGACTCAGAAGGCATGGTGAAGGGCTGGAGTGCCTTGGAAGCTCCTTCTGATAACTGCTGTCGCAGGTGTGGTTTTACAGAGCTGCTTTTGTGGCCGTGGTTCCTCCGTTCCGCTGCCATGGCTTTTGGATTGTGCCGCCTCCTTCTGGTTGGGCGTCTCCAGTTGGAAATCATTTTGCTAAGCACGGTGCCTCTGCTTCCTGTGTTTGTTGATGTGTGACACGCACAGTTGGTTGACCTCTGAGATTTATTTGTCCTTTTCTGACAGGTTTTAATTTGATGTCAAAAATCGTTACCCTTTCAAAGACCCAGGTTTCCAATGTTCACTGGCCAAAATCATTGGCTTGCAATTGGCAGGAGGGTGTGCTTGCTGCAGCTAGCAGTGCTTTTAAAAATCATTCAATTTGCTCTGTGCCAAAGAGTCCCTGTGTCCCCTATAAAGCCACCTTCACGTTGGCTGCAGCAGAGCCCACCGCGTTACTTTATGCCAAATGCTCTCCCACACATTTTCAAATCTTTTAGTAGTGTTGGCTCTGAAATCTTTTGCCTAAATGACAGAGCAGTTCAGAGCTCCACTTGATGCTTTTTGTAAAGACATCAAGAAAGCACTGCATTCTGGCCCAGTCACCACAAGCAGTGGCTCACTCATATGCATCGTCCTCCTGATATCTGTAGGGTAGGCACTTGCGGGCTTCTTATTCTGTTGGAGCATAAAATCTAGCCCGTAAGGCTGAGTAATATGTTGTTTTAATGACTGCCTGTGGCTCACTGAATTATCCTCTGTATTATGGGCTAATATGATCTCTTTGGTATTTAACGATGACTTTTTTTTAAATTGCCATATATATTATCGAGAGCTAATATATTAAAAGATCCTGCAAGGGTAATTATCAAGTGTATAATTTCATCTTTAGGTTCTTATAATGATGGTTAATGTCATAAATGGCTTTTAATAAAATTACAGGCTTGTAACCCTGCTTGACTATCCTTTACATGTCATATAATTAGTAAAACCAAGCTGTGGTGTTCATCTCAGTGTCAGAAAACATCATGTGAACTTCCGTACTGATGGTAAATGGTTGGTCTCTCATCACAGTTAAGAAGAAAAAGGTTAGGGTTAGGTACTCTGATCATATATTACCTGTTTTTAAAGGCAGTTGGATGGGCTTGTTAACAAAAGTACTTGTAGCAGAACATACATGTTCATTTAAAAAAAAAAACACAAAAAAATACAGCTATTGACCTGGTGACTTCCTGTAACTACACGTGCAAAATGAGAAGAGAGTGAAAAGGCAAGTGGATTGCAGCCCATGGAATAAGGAATTGTTTCCCTTCTAATCCACTGAGGATACTGAGAACTTGTGTCCAGCTTCAGGTACTTGGAGATGGATTCCTTGTCTCGAACTGAGGATAGTTGTCCAGAATTTAGGAGATTTGGGATTGTTTTCCCATCTGGCCAGATTTCTCTGAGGCTTTGACTAAGTTGCTTAATCCTTCTGGTCTTTAGATTTCCTGTCTGAAAAACAGGGGCTGTAATACTTATTTTCTTTGTCTCACCTTTCCAGATTTTAAACTTGCTGGAACAAGGTATTGATGGTTGGGTTTGGGATTTTTCTTCTTATTATTTTTTCCTTTGGCAAGTACCATTAAATGGTTCAAATTGGAAAGAACCTCAGGGTTCCCACCTCCTGCTCACAGCAAGGGCGACGCTCAACTTGTGCCCTTGAGACCTTCTTTCTTACTGTGAATAATATTAAGGGAACCAGATCTTACAGGTTCTAAAAACCAAACCAAACATGTAAGACTCATTAAGGTTATTCCACTATTCTTCATCCTTCAGGGAATGATGTACCTGGAAGAGAGAAGACTTGTGCACCGGGACTTGGCAGCCCGCAATGTCCTGGTGAAATCACCAAACCATGTGAAGATCACCGACTTTGGCCTGGCCAGACTTCTGGAGGGGGATGAGAAGGAGTATAATGCTGATGGAGGGAAGGTGAGTACTGAAATGTCTGGAACTAAGTGCATCACACTACGGATGTCCTGAAGTTATTTGTCACGACAGTGTATCTTTACGGGGCCGTGTCTTTGCAAGAACTCTGTCAGTGCCTTAGCAAAGCCCCGCCTGTTGGCAGTGAGCTGCACATGTGAAAACTGCTCATTTGTCCTTAGTGAGCTTCTCCAGGTCCAGAAATAAAACTGCCAGAGTGGTTTCCACACTCAGGGTTAGCTTTCGCGCATAAATTCCATTTTGTGTGATGTTTTGAAGAATTCTGAAGTCAATTCAATGAGAAAAAATTTCCAAAAAATAATCAGGAAGAGCATAGACCATGCTTTTATTTGTAGTATACATGAGAGTTGACGTATGCTCAGCAGAGAGCCACCCCTTCTTTGACCACGAAAGGGCCTGGGTATGCTGTTTGTCACGTCCAGGTCCCCAGTACCACGCTGAGTGCCAGGCCACTAAATAGCTTGCTTCAGGATAATCTTGAAACCAGACATTTCTCGTTATTACTTTTCAGCACACAGCAGAACTTCCATACGGTTCCTCACCCCATTTTTAATGCTTTCAGATTAATGCATTATAAAATTTAGAAGGCTGAAAGTGCATACTGCTGCCGGCTGCTCGCTCAACATTTTGAAATTCCACATTTCAACCTGTCATGAAATCCCAAGGGGTTCTGCCTCTCCTGTCATTCCTTTTCCTGAGCGTTCAGTTTGCTTTCTGTCTCTTTGCTATCCGTGTTTTTCTGTGCTCGCTTATGCCCTTGTCTGTGAAAAACAGCTGTTGCCAATGTGTTTCTCTCCTGGATGGTCTGCTGTCTTATTTGTGTGGCTGCTGCATTTGATAGCTGTTGCATGGATGACATCAGTGTTTTGGTCAATAAGGTGAAGAGTTTGAAAGGAGTCACCAGTGCTTCCCCATTTTGCCCAGTAAAGAGACCTATTGGTAGGGAAGGTGGAGTTTTAGCATTCTTCCCTGATGCGTTCAGTTCTCTCATCCCTTCCTCAGTAACCCCGTCTCTTGCCTCCATCAGTCAGTGAATGACAGAAGAGGAGCTGGCCCTTGCAAACCAGCTGTTTCCCTTCAGCTGTGAGGTTGTGTCTTGGATTTGCAAGGCCAGTATTGTGCTGGGAGTTCAGTAGCCGTATTTACACACCACATGACACTTTCCAATTTCACAGAAACATCCTGTTAATTGTAGAAAACGTTTTGCCATTTAGCATTGTGCTGTTAAGCATGCTAAGAGAGATTCTGCACAGTTTCCATCCTTAGAGATTTTCAGGGCCAGACGGGATAAAACCATCGACCTGATCCCATAGCTGACCCTGCTGCGAGCCTGAGGTTGAGCTAGGGACCATCTCAGGACCCTTCCAGGCTGAGTTATCCCCAGTTAACTATGTAACTTTGCTCTCTAAACAGTTCCAGGTTGAAACAAGGCTACCATGTTTAATGGAAATGAAAGCAATACACTTCTGCAGGAGGAGAAGGAGGATGAACTGCCTTTGCAAGTATGAAGCCAACCATTAGCAGAGTGCTATTTTTGCCATAACTGCATAGGTTGTGTTCATTAGTCAACTTCCTGGAAGGTATTTTCATAGGAGTTTGAACGAAGACACATCCTCTGCTCTTACACCCACCATCTGTTCAGATTTTGTGTGCAGCTACATCTCTGCTCCGCTTATTCCACTATATTTTCCATAGTTCTAAATCAGAGGGGACCCATACAAGTCCCTGCCAGGTAAGATTCACTGAAATGTCTGTCCATTAGAAATTAATGGACTTCAACGCTGTGCCTTGGAAGCCCTCCTCAGGAACAGACAACACCGGAATTCTCATTGTAACACCATCTCCAGAGAGAGAACCCTAATTCCAAACTGAGGTTTGTGTTTGCCTACACTCTTATCTATCAGGAAAGAGAGAAGCCCTCAATGATGATTCACAGCCCAAGGCTATCTTGAGACTTTAGATTTGCTTTCTGGAGCAACTGTTCTCACTGCAGTGATGATACAGACAATTGGGAGGGCTGAGTTCTTAATGAATATCACAAGTTAGAAATTAAGCACAGTAAATCGTCCCTGTTGCCTGTTTACTCTGATTATCGTTATTATATGGACTATGAAGTATTATGGACATGGCATTATTAACTAGTCTCATTAGAGAGCAGTCAGGGACTTCTGCCTTCCGCTTTCTACTGCACTTCAGATGTAGGGGGATCAGATGGAATTTTTGCAGTGGTCTCAATTTCACTCAGGCTGGATGAAAAGTGAGTTGTTCCATTCTGCCCAAATCAGTGAAATTTGGGTGGTGTGACAGGTTCTGCTGGTTCTACTGGTTTGTGTTTCTCAGCGAGTCCAAGTCCCATTCTAGAGGGCAACTATTAGAGGAACAACTATTTCTTCTGGCGTTCGATGTTGCTGCTTTTTTTCCAAGCTTGCAGTTGAAAAAGGAAATGGAGAGGAAGCTGCTGTCTACGTATAGGATCCTGCTTATTGTTTTAATATTGTATTTCTAAGGTTACATTTCTCTTGTCTTTCCCTAGATGCCAATTAAGTGGATGGCTCTGGAGTGTATACACTACAGGAAATTTACCCATCAGAGCGATGTCTGGAGCTACGGTAAACCTTCACATGATTAGCTTAAGAATGTGTCTCTTGTAATGCATTAAACCAAGTTGTGTTACTGTGATACCAATATCCTCTTCTCTTAGAGAGGTTAATTCTGGTGGCTTTTGCTCTTAATTTTTTTGTTATGTGTTACTCTAAACAGCAGTTGTGACTGGTCTCCTGCCTTGCTTCTCCGCTCACTGAAATACATTTATCATGATGTCCCTGCTGGGATGACTGCCGTAAGGTCTGGTCGGGTAGAAGTTTGCCTGATTCTTATGACAGAGGAAGGCTCCTCTCAGCTTAGCCACAGACTCATAAAAACACAGCTGCAGGTCATCATTTCCAGCAAGCAGTCCTTCGAAAATCTTAACTATAAAAGCCATGAATGTCAAAAACTATTTTTTGGCTTATGGGAATTTCTGTACCTAGAGCCTGATAAAAGGGAATTTGTCATAATACAGAGCAAATACAGCCAGAGATAGAAGAGAAAGAGACAGTCTCTCCAAGCCAAGTAAAACAAGCGTGGGTTTAATTTCACAGGTAACTGGAATTGGTTAGACAGGTCAGATCATGTAGGCTCACACTAAAACCATCACGTTTGAGAAATGAGATGTTTGCTGAACGTTATAAATGCTGTTACCAAGATGAGCCACTATGTCACATGTGCTGAGCTGTCTGCCTGTTAGCGTTGTGCAGCTAATTACTAATAAAATCATCTGCACCTTTGTAAGTGGAATGTATCTGGGGCTACGCACTCCTGTTTGCGTTCTCTGTTGCCATATCATTTTGAAATAACAAGGTGTACAACTGTATTCATTACTCACTTCTACCTGTGGGTAGCAGCAAAAGACACTGTTTGCAGTGTCTGGGTATCTGCCCTCCTCTATTCAGCTAAGAAAAATAAATGAGAATTCAATTGATCATGGAAAGCTGCTCTTTCTCGAGAAATTCTGCACACCTGTATCACTTAGGAAAAAGCATTTCTCCATTTAGGAAATATATTTTAAATGCAGGAAGCCCATGATAGCTATTATCAGAAAGAACAAAAGCAAAAAAGAAGTGGCAAGTTAAAGGTATTGAATATAAGCAAAGAGGTGACTGAGGGTAAACTGAATACGTGGCTTTATGGGTAAGGTATTTTTGTCCGTTTCTTTTCAGATTAGTATGACAGCTGTCCAAATATGGTTACTGATCTGGAGGCGTGTTTTAAATGGCCTTTGCAGTAAAAATTAGGAAAACAACAACAACTGATGTGGGAGCAGCGTTTTCAATATTGAAGATTTGGTTTGATGACAAATTGTTACTTATGATATACGACCTTTATTTCCAGCTCTGATGCCAAAACAAATCCTATGGCTATACAAAAAGAGGATCTTGGTTTTTTTAAGCACAGCCCTATTATAACTCAAATCCCTAAGGTGACTTAAGGAAAAATAATAATACGGGTGGCTGTGAATGAGTTAGGAGGCAAAAGCAGTGACACAATGCTATTCTGTACTGTACTTCTGTGAGAAATTGATGTTCTAAGTTAGGGAACATCTACGTTTTTCCCCGAAATAATAGACTACATCATCTATTCATTTTTTGATATGATAAAAGAGCAAGATACATTCTTTTATTATTGCATCCATTTGCTTTCCCACTATCTGTCAGTCTTAGACCTTTGTCTTGTGCCTCAAATCTATCACGCTGCTTCTTATGCCAATAAAAATGAGGGAAGGCACTCCTGTGGATTAACACTAAGTGCTGTTTCTCCATTTGGTGGAGTTTGTTAAATGGCAGACCAGGCACAAACATTTTTACAAGCCCTGGTAACAAAGAAGAAATTCCAGTCTAGAACTGGACTGCAGTACTGAGCTGTAAGAAGCTGGGAAGGAATCTGAGTAGCACAACCTCAAATACTAAGTCCCTTTTTCTCTGTCTAGGAGTCACTATCTGGGAGCTTATGACCTTTGGTGGAAAGCCATACGATGGGATCCCGACTCGAGAGATCCCAGACCTCCTGGAGAAGGGAGAGCGGTTGCCCCAGCCTCCAATCTGCACTATTGATGTTTATATGGTGATGGTGAAATGTAAGTAATTGGAGCTCTTCGCATCTCTGCGTTCAGTGTGAGAGGAATACTATTTTAGAGCATTTGCATGCATAGTCTCTGACAATGCCTGGTAATAGTGCAGGCAGTTTCAAAACAAAGGCTTCCCAAGATACTGTAAATTCCATTTAAATACTGTATGCACATTTTTTTGCAATTGCAAGATACGGATTTAGCCCTGAAGGGCTGAGTTAGCTTCTTATTACTGTCAGATGGTATCTCATATTCTTTCTGTGAAGTCAAAATTGTATCGTTGTTATTGTAAACCCTTGTCATTTCCATGACAATTGATTCTGATGTTAGAACAGATAGTATTAAACATAATTACCGTACACGGATACTCAGCCAGTGAAGTTTGCAAGGAAAAATGCTGGTTCCAGATACTGAGGAAAGAATGCAAGGATGTTTTATTGTCAGTAAAAGGATTGATTATTGCAATATTAATAATAAAAGGTAAAATTAATATAAGAAATGATGCAGAAGGGAGGTTTATCATTCTTAGTCCAGTATAATAATTTATGGATATCTGTACTTGAGCAGAAAAGGAAAAAAGCTTGCGCTGGGTTTCTTCCTACCCTTTTTATCTCCAAGATACCAGCACTAGTGACTGTATTCTCCAAGGCTACGCTTCCAATTTAAAAAGAATTAAGGACATCTCTCTGGTGTTTCTGACTTAATTTAAGTGAGATTAACATACAGCTATCTCATCTGTCTTCTATGGACCTTTCCCTTTAGCCTTGTACACAAAAACACTGAAAGAAAGAAAATAACACCAGCAGAGGTAAATAAGCCTCTTCTGAATACAGTTAGACCCAACAGCTGCCAGCAGTTCATGAAGCTCATATTGTGAACATCCTGTGTAATCCAGGGGTTTGCATTTGGAACGTACAGAATTCCATCTTTTCCTTCCCCAACCATTTGTTCAAGTATTGAGCTCTGCACTGCTCAGCTGTGGTGGAAAATTTGACCACATCTAGAGTACAGGTTGGTTTGGTTTTTGATGCGTGTTGACATTTAAGACAATAAATATCTACCGCTATCTTAAAAAGGACTGTTTTCAGGGTGGTTCGATGACTGGGGAATAATATGACTCCATAAGGCAATTTAGCAGGACACTGTGGAGGAATTTTCAGCGTGGCTTAATGTAACTCAGCCTCTTCGTACCAAAAACAGGCAAGATATGAACCTCCAGCAGTGCTTGGAGCCTGCCAACCCCCTTGAGAACTACAGCCAGGTAGCTGTGATAGGGATATAGAGAAGAATTTGCTTTTTAACATCAGCTTTCTGTTACTCCTACATGTTGATATGAGAGCAGCTGACATTTGATTGTCTCGTGCGCTACCTAGAGAAGAGTCAGTAGAGCAGTTCCCTTCGTACACCATTCCTACACTGAAGACAATTCTGTGAGTCTCAATAAAGAAGCCAGATATTTAAACCAAGCTTGGTGACTTCAGGGAGGAGCCTAACGCGCTAGTAGTTTTCTATTATTTATGAATAAATGTTGCAGAAGCACATGTAGAACCATTAGGAGTCCTCGTATGCTCGGGCAGATCTAGGAAATAGAGGTAAAAGCTGCTGGAACTATCACAGACCTTTTAACATAAATGCACACAGGTAGGAGTATCACGTGAATGGTACAAGGTGTTTATGTTGCAACTTGCAAAAATACTCAAGTTGATAGCATTTCTAATGAGTACAAGGCATTTCTCAGCAAACAGAAGAAACACATGAAGAAGAAACAGAACAGAAACAGAAGAAATGACTGTTCTGGAAAGTCACAGCTAGATGTATGGATTTAGTCCTGTAATGCTTGAGTGGAGTTCTTTGTGAGTTGTATTAGCTTTGTTGGATTTTTTTTTTTTTTTGCTTTGGTCACTTCTTCCATTAAAGGCTATGAAGGAGATAAGGCCCACTTCGTTCTGCCTCCCTGGCAAATGAGAACATGCTCTTGGGAAGCTGCCGATAGAATCTTCCATTAGAAAGAGCTGACACTGAGATAAACTAGTTGCCAGTGGTGACTGCCTGTGCCACTTGCTTGTACAGAAAGCACTAGAAGGGATTGAGAATTGTTCCTAATGAATGTTTCTGGGAGAATGAAAGACCAAAGAATTGCCCTTGGACAATTAAAATTGCATCTAATACCTTGTGGGGTCTGTGTTAATGATGCAGATACATGAATGCAAAAAACACCTGAAAGGTGGGCTGGGAGGTCAGTCATCGTGTTCAAGTCTTGGGCAGCTCTTTGTAATGTAAGCTACTGTGGAACAGTTGTTCGGTTTGAGGAAAAAAATGTGCTTAGTAATAACTTTGTAATAAACCCACTAGGCTGAGGTGAGATCAGGGATTAATTAAATTAGAGGTTGGACAGATCCGTAATAAAAAAACAGAGTTGACATCTAAATGGGAAAGGCAAATACAGAAAATGACATGGCCTGCTTTGGGGGTGGGGAACAGAAACTCAGAGCAAATTAAGAAATCTTTGCAGTGTAGAACATTTGGTCTCCTCTGGCCAATTCCAGATGTTCTCCATTTTAGAGTTCCACCAGTTCCACCTTTCCCTTTTTCCTGGGCTCCTTATCACATTTTTTCCCTAGGCCAGAATTATCAAGTGCATCATTTCTTTTCAAACTTGCACATTTTTAAAAACTGCACGCTCTGTCAGTGGCCACTTATTTTCTTGTCTTTGACAGGCTGGATGATCGATGCTGACAGTCGGCCTAAATTCAAGGAGCTGGCTGCTGAGTTTTCTAGAATGGCTCGAGACCCCCAGAGGTACCTGGTAATTCAGGTAAGCAACTCTGCAATATAAAGTGGGAAGGAGGGAAGAATTCTGCCTACCAAACCTGACTGTTAAGAGGGTTGCTTTGAACCTTTTAATTTCAGAGCGTTCTTGAAGTTAAAAAGCAAATGTAACGACTGATAATGTAAACTGTTGACAATCCTAACTCTACCTGCTCCACAACACTGGGTATGGTGTGGGGTAAATCCACCTGGTATTAGCTTCACACTGAAGTAAGAGCTCCTGGCTGAAGGTTATCCAGGATGACAGGTTACTGCTTCCATGCCTCCTAACTGCTTCTGGGATGGTCTCACCCTACAGTATTTCATTGTAGTGTGTAGACATGCTAGCCTGCTCATGGCACATTAATGCAAAGTACCAACACAGGCTAATCTCCTATAGCTTAAATTTATTTGAAAAGTTAAACATTGTTGAGGAGGAACTGGGTATTTCCCACTGCATTAAAAGGTAAGTCCAGCTGTTTCAAGAGACTCTGGAAAAGTTCAGTTTGATTATATTACTTCATTAGACAGGACGTTTCCACATTCTGAATATCTCTTTCTTTCCTTCTCTCCCTCGTTACAACCATACATAGTCGGATAGTTCATCTTTGGCTTCTTCTCCAGTGATCCTTGAGGCAATACAGGTTGTGTGCTTCTTGAACAGAAATCAGGGTAACTCCATGGCACTGGTATCTCTGCCATCTTCACTTCCCCTTCTTCCCAGAGGCCAGCAAGAAGGACGAGCTTGCTGTTCATTTTTTAAACCAGTGTGCACTGTAGCACAGCAGTCATTCCCTGCCATATTCTACGTGTGGTGTAGTAATTTTTGAGACGTGAGAGGCCACTCTTAATCCATTCAGTTAAGCTTAGCATCGTTTCTACAGGCTGTTAGGTGTTCAGGGCACGGGCTGCCTTTTCTGATGTTTCATGGCATCAAGCATGGCAAAGCGAAGCTGTGATTTGCTTCTCTAGCTTGTAGGTATTGTTTCAGTTAAAAAATATTAAAAAAAAAACACCACCACCACCAAAAACAGCCACATCTTATCATTGTTGCTGCTGTTACCTGGTTTGATTTTTATTGCTTTCAGCTGTGTTGCATTCTGCAGAATTTTCATATGGATGAGAGGGAAATTTACCTGCCCAGGTTCCTAAAAATACAAATGAAAATAAAGCAAACATCAAAACACAGCAGTTACCACATTATTTTCCCCAACACGTGTGCCTAAATAGCAGAGATATTTCACAAAATACATCAGACCTTGACAGAATTTGGGTCAGAAACTGTGCTTGTATAGGAAAAAGAGAGAAGAAGGAATAAAAGCTCAATCACAAGAATGCCAGAAAGAAAGGTTTTGCTTGATTTATGCAGTTATTCCCTTTCTGTCATCATATTCTCACTACAAAAAGTCAAAACAAACGATGTGGATGTGATGTTTTAGACCAAGCAAAGAAGCATGTGCACTCCCTGCAGCCTGGCTGTCAGGGCAGGAGGAAGGCTGAGGTTCCCTGCTGTGAAATTAATCCATCTCCTCCCTGTTCCCCCCTCTCTCCCTATCTACCTATTTAGGGAGACGATCGTATGAAGCTGCCCAGCCCAAATGACAGCAAGTTCTTCCAAAACCTTCTCGATGAGGAAGACCTGGAAGATATGATGGATGCTGAAGAGTATCTTGTTCCTCAAGCCTTCAACATCCCTCCTCCCATCTACACTTCCAGGACAAGAATTGATTCCAACAGGGTAAGAGCAAGCTCTGACAGAAATACTGGCTATTATAAAAGCACAGGTGGAGATATAAGTACTCTAATCAAACACAGGCAAGAGTTGCCTTGGGAATTACAAGCTCCCATTGTAAGGAGACTGACTATAAAAATGTTGTCACTGGGTTCCCTGTTCATTGTACCCCAGTGAATTCTAAATTGATAGCTCAGCCTTGAGTGAACAAAGGCTCGACTTGAGCTGCCTTTCCCGAAAGCACAGCTGAGGCTTGTGAAGTCAAGCCGTGTTGTTTCTCAGTTGTGTCCCAGCCCAGTCAGGAAGTATACAGCTCTCATTCTCCATCCCTGCAATCATTTCGTCAGGGTTGGCACTGATGTAACAGAGGGCAGCTGGAATATATAGATAATTCTGCTTTTGTGTCTTCAGCCAGATTTCAGACCCGGCCCCTTTCCCTGTTTATATGTGATGGTTTCAGGGCCCTCCTTCACAAGCATGTGTTGTGGCTGAACGCATCGCAGATTTTGGCACGTTGATCTTTGTCACATTCCTGTTAGGCAAGGGGAATGCTGTTGGTTTGCAGGAGTAACTTGACACACGGGGAGGAATTCTCCTCACGTAACTGGAACTATCTTAAATACAGAAATACACTCTAAGCTCTTCACTTGCACATCCAGTTGGTGATAACTGCTGCCTGCTTTGGACATTTACAGTGGGATATGTCACTTTCTAGAAGTGTCTCTGTCTATCTACTGACTACTGACAGCTTCAGTGCGGTCTCAGACCTTTTCTAAATGCCGCAGTGCCATGTGAGCCCTGCTGGACCTGAGTACACATTTACTGAATTCCTCTCTGCTTCTGGGTTCCCTTTCTTGCAGCTCTGAGCTCGGCCAATTGCTGCATTTGGCTCTGTCCTCTTAACAGATTGGATGCTGCCTGTTCTCACAAAACTATGAAGTGGTGAAATGGCATTACTAATAAAGGACATTTGCGCAAGCACCAGGTATACTCACTTCTTAGGGACTTCACTCACGTGGTTGGATTTTTCTCTCTGTGCTGCTTATAGCCAAAAGTCCCATTTTGAAACACTGCAGTCTCTTTGAAATCGTGGCATTTATTCCTCATGGTTTAGAATCCTTCGGGATGTTTCTCCATAGCATAGATAGTTCCAAATTCACACCCTGGTCTGAATTGATTTATAGTATGTGTGAAGGTAAACAAAGGATCTAAGACATTGAAACAGGTTCATGCTCTGACTCTACATGGATGTTCTTTCACCTCTCCTGGATAAAGCATTGCTTTTCTGCAGTGAGGCAGACCAAGAGCTGCCCTTAAATTACATCCAGTCAATTCATAAGGAAATTACTACTGTTGTTAAAGGCAAGGAGACTAAGAGAGGTCTTTGGAAGGGACTTGTAGTTGTATTGCTAAGATGGGTTCACACAGTGCATCAGTAGATAGCTGAGAATGCAGGGATGGTGCATGTTTTAGCAGTAAGCAACTTCCCCTTTCCTGCAACAAGAGTTTTTAAGGCTGATGCCAATCTGAAATAAGTTAGTTTTAGTCCCAATTGTCTCTGGAGAAGTTCCATTTCTTTTGACGTTAGTTACCTTCCAGAGCTGCTCACTTGCCCGCTTCTGTAAATCGTTGTAGCTTTGTGTTACAGAGCAGGGTACTACCAGCACAAGGCAGCCAGTGTGTTCACTGGGATATTCATGCCAAGCAAATGCAAATGCAGAAGTTCGTTACAATTGCATGAAAATTCAAGCACCTTTCTCGCAGCCTTTGCCCAACTTCCAGCCTCACTATTGCAGTGTGCTTGTACACACGATCCCCCTGAAGTCAGCAGAGCCTCCCAGAGAGACCCCATGCCTTCATTTTTGCCACACGGAGAGGCTCTATCACATTCTTGATGTGACGTCTCGCCTTCACAGCTCACAATTTCCCATCTTGGTTTGAGACCGTGGTCTTTCCTACTGAAGTCAGTGGGAGCTTTGCTTTGCAATTCAATTTAATGACAGTAGCAGCTCCGTATCCTCCTTTCAGTAACTCTTACCGCTGGGACATCATATGACAATCTAACACTTGGAACTGGAATTACACTTTACCACAACTGTTCAGATTCTGAGCGGAGTTTTCTAATCTAATGTTACTGAGAGCAGCTAAGGGACAGAAAGCTCACACCCAGCTCTGCCTTTTTCTATCCTTGCAGTATTTTTCTTTATTGTAGGAGCTTCTTTATAGAGGAGTGATTGTTCAGGCAGGAAGAAGAGATGGGCAAATAAGTTGGTGTTGAAAGCCCAGCTGATGTATAACAGCACTTGCTGGAGTCACTGCAGAGTGACTGCTGTCCTGTAACAGCATTAACCTCGGTCATTTAGAGGCTTGTCCAGTGTCTCAGATTAGCTTAAGTCTTGGTTTTATTTGCTAACTGCTCTCCTAAATGCATTGCTAGTGCTGCTCTTCAGGCAGGCCACAGCATGAGGTTGCTGAAAGGGCTTGGGATTGCACGTAAAGTCCCATAGAACCTTTGCTCTCCAGTTCTTGGTATTCCAGTGAAGATTTGTGTTGATTTAAACCAAAAGAAGACTTCTGTAAGGCAGTAGCACATGTGCATACTGTCTATAGTTCAGCACCAGGAGATGTCAGGTACAGGAATCACACAGTTGAGAGGTGCAGTCGGATCTCTCTAGCTGCAGTTGTCTGATTGTATCTTTCTTTGAGTTTCCTTTGGATAGTTTGGATACATAGATCTATGTATCCAACATAGATTTATGCTTGTTTGTTGTAATGGATGTTGATATTACACCAACTCATTATGGTACTGCTGCAGCCATAAATGCCAAATGAATTGATGCAGCATAGGTAGTTTGTGTTCACTGCGTCTGGCAAATTAAATTTTATGGGAAGATTGCCAGGCAATTTGGTGAAGTAAAACACACAAGAAACTAGATGGTCCTCATGTCATTTCAGAGACGAGAAGCTTGAAAAACCCTGCATTTCCCATCTGAGTTGTTCTGATCGTTGTTTTAGTGAAGGAGGAGTGAGTTATGCGATGGCAGGGCGTTGCAGTCCTCTGACAGCTGTAATAGAACTTGTGGCAGCGCAACAGGGAACAGAAGTTGGCAGTGAGGCTGTGAGCCTCCTCACACTCGGGCTTCAAGGGCCTTTGAAAGGGCATTTGCTTTCTAGGAAAGGTTCTGAAGTTTGTCTAGGATGATCTCAGTCCTAAATCCTCACTTCCACGTGAGGGCTACTTGGATACGAGCACAAAGCTTTACCCTTAGAAAGAAGGCTGGAAAGGAGGAAACCTGGTGGTAGGCTTCCAGCTCCACAGGATGTGTCGCATCCTTACTCCTGCAGGGGTGAGATTTACTGAAGGTGAGAGGCTCAGGTACAGCTTCAGCACTTCTTCTATCACATGCAGCCTGCTTCACAGCAGGATTTCCCTAGGTCCTGTCCTGCCAGGAACAGAAGCTTGCCCGCCCTCTAAGCCCATAGCAGTGTCCTCTGCTATGAAGTCCTTTCTGGGACTGACCGATGCAGTTTTGAAATAAAAACTAGCATCCTAAGCTAAATTGATTTCTTTGTGGCATCTGAAGTCCTCAGTTGCAGTTTTGGCTCTTCGTCTTTTTCTAGCTTTTATTTTCTGTGGTCTGGAGATATTCTAGAAATATGGAGTTTTAGAAGCTCTGTGCTTCTGAGAGATAAGCCGAATCCTCAGCAGTGTTTCCATGAGCACAGTACCCCAGCTAGCGCTCGAGTGTCCTACATTCACAGCCATTAGATGATTCATTCAGGTATTTGTAACAAGCACTGCCCTGTGTGCACAGAGATAATACTAATACAGAAAGCACTCTGTGTACCCCGTGGTGCTTTTTGCTCTAAATCCTTGGCTAATTCCTACTGAAAACTGGCTATGCTGTTTATTACTCACCAGTGCGGTCTCTGTAATTTTATCCCATGCTCTGTGTATCACAGAATGCCTGCCAACCCAGCAATTAAATATCAAGCTAGCTTTTCAGGATAGGGTTTTAATTAATATGTCCAGGGAGACTGCTCTGCTTGGCTACAGCAGAGCCTGGTGTGCCAGATGCCAGCTGTTAGCTCCCCAGCAGTGCCTGCTGTGCCATCCCAGCCATCCTGGCACAGCGCTGGGGTTGTGGTGTCTGGCAGCTCAACATCTGTATGTGCCTCTATGTGAAAACTCATTCCAGAGAGAAACCAGGTGAGAAGATCCTTTTGTGATTAATTTGTTTCTGTATTAGAAAAGCAGCCATTTTTCAAATTACGCAGTTGCAGAGGAGAAGGCATTTCACTTCAGCGTGGCATCTTCGCTTCCAAACCTTACAGTGGACGTAGGGAGAATTCACCAATGAGATGGCTACAAGTATTAAATGACCGTAATTTGGCACCTTAGTAACAGGGCTGCATTTCTTGGGTAGAGCTCTGGTGGTAGATCAGATCAGAGGGCTAAGAGCACCTTTTGTACAGACTGAAATCCAGCAGGCCCGGAGGGTGAGGGACTGGAAGCAGCTCAGAGCTGGAAGGGAGACATCTGGGAGAGCAGGCAGGGCTTATATGGGGGTACTGTCCTTGTTGGTATAGCTGGCAGTTGATTGTAGCTGCCCTTTTCTGTGGCAAAGAAGGCAGGACGAAAAGTCGTGATTTGCTGGTGATTCCCCTTGTATCCAGAGCTTTGTTAGCAATCAGCGTTTTCCCGGTGCTTGCATCCTTTTTTTTGTGTAAGAAAAAGCTGTTCATTGTCCCTTACTCAAGCTCTCAAATGAGCTCTTTCTCCAGGCATGTCCTGGCCGTGTGGGGCCAGCAATAGAACTACTTCATCCCAAAGTAAATAGATAATTTGTGTGAAGAGATATCGAAGCTAGGTGGGGCATACAAGCACTTTGTCAAGCCTACTGGCATACAATCAGACAAGGGCTCCTGTCTCCTAATTTCTGTGCAGAAATGCAGCTCGAGGTGCAGTTTGTCTGCTCAAAAGATTGTCTTGATCGTATCGTTGG